AACTAGCTCAAGTCCTATTAACCGTCTCTATGCCCACCGTATCATAGGGCACACGACGTACGTCGGCAGAAACGACTTTAAAACTGTTAACTCCTTCATGCTTACTCATCTGCTTGATCAGCTGTGGTGGCTATGATCGCCCTCGATTTTAGCCACCGTAATTCAGGCGATAGCCTCCAAACTTTAGTTTTCTTTCCCTTTTGTGTTAGTTATAAACTCATGAACATATGAGACTGATTATATGTTATGTACTCTTCTCACTTGCTGTTGCGATGCCGGAATGCTCCTATCAGTTTGGTTTATTTATTTATTTACTATCGTCCTGAAGATATTGATTTCAGGTGCAGCCTAACCTCAACTAACAGCTTTATAGCGCTTTTCTCAGCACAGCTAAAGACTACGCAGAAGATTCCTTCCACTGATTACTCATATACCTTCGGGTTCTCTACGCGTAACCTTCTGAAAAATTACCATTTAAGGTGTTGTGCATGAACGCAATCATGTCAAATGGCTGCATTCTTCCACTCATTCTTTATTGTTCTCCAGTTATTTTTCCAGCTTTACTTAAAAAAGATCTAATTATTTTTAAACGTGTCATTCGAATGCTCGCCTCTGCTGCTGGTGTTTCCTATCATATTTTATTTGATATCATCGTGCAGCTACACTTCAACTCGGTGGAGCAATTCGCTGACCGAATTCTGAATGACACCGTCCATCCCCTTCATAATGAGTTAATGGCTGCGAAATCCTTACGTCCCACGCGTCGATGCTTCCGCCACATCCCTTGCCGCACTTCGGCCTATCGGAATTCCATACTGCCATTTCTAGCCCGCGATCTCACCTACAAAGATGTTGAAAAACAAAAACTAAAACTCGATCTTGAACCTTAAAGTCCTTTCTTCTTCATATATAATTATGCCCACCTGTCCAATACCTGTTAATCTCTATGGTAATCACTGTGTACTGGAGAACCGTTTTTGCTGAAAGTTATGAAAGTTATTTTCAAAATAAAGCATTCCTCTCTCTCTCTAAAAAAATGCTTACTTGAGCAGAAGGAGGAAGTTGTAGCAGTCGCATCTTCAGCTGATCCGCCGTTTGAATCATCCGTTTTCGACTCATTCGGTTGATTTCTGAGTTACTTTGCCGTGCAGTCTTTCGTTCTCTCGGAATGTCACTCAGTCCACGCTACGGAGGCTTCTCAACTAACCAGCGCGATGTCCTCTGGAGGCCGATTTCGCTACACTTGGGCCGAAGTACAATGGCGCTCATGGTCGTTATGACAATGTCCAGTGCGTGTTGACATTTGCGTCAGTCAGTCCGCCGGTATGCTCTTCAAACTGTAAGCAACGGCGCTGTAGCTGAGAGCGAATTTCTTCCATTTGATTGGCTGACACCTTTTCTCTCCATCCTTTAAGTGGGCTTTAATTGCCACAGGTTTATTTTATTGCTCTAAAATCAAGCTATACTTTTTGGCTGTGAATCACGGACTGGTCATTTACATGTGAGGATGGATTTTCATTCAGTTTTTTCCCGTAGCATATATAATTTATCGAAGAGTAGGAGACGCAGCCGTTGGGGCAAGGAGCTTATTCGCCTGGATTCACTCTGGAAACGCTTCTCAGAGACAGGAGCAGGTAATAAGTCTCTACATGAAATAGTAATATGCAAATTCAGGCCTTGGATCTTGAAACACAACCTTTCATTTTCGCCACTAAATGGAATTGTAGTTCTTATCTGCTTCCCAATGACTTGAACATGTATATATTCATGCTTAGGAATAATTCATACCATAGAAGATTTATTACAATAAATGCCACGTAAGAATTCTAATTTCGCCAATTTTTGAAATATTCCTCTCGGACCTATACAAATCACGTTGAAATGGGTTTTGGCCTTCTTTGTTATATTTTCACCTTATGAAGTAGTTTCCCCCAATATGGAACATTGTGTCAACTTCTGCATACTCTGTTTTTGTTTCTTGCTCCGGAACTGGTTTTTGTATGTATTTTAAATCTGCTGTAATGACTGATTTGTCAGCTTTTGAGTTATAACCTTCAACTTAAGAAGTCGATTGTATGATGCGACAACCCGAGATATGAAAAACAGGCAAATTTAACCGACCTATAGAATTTACGCAAACGTTATTATGAGCTGCTTAAGTCACACTTGGCTTCATTTCCTTTGTGAAGTTGAGATCGTTTCCATCCTGCAAGATCGGCTCGACGGGACTTTCAAACAAAACATTAGTTCCAGGTACTCTCGACTCTCATTTGACGCAACGATTCAGAATTAGATGACACTTTGAGAAACTCAGACAGGGCATATAAAAGCGTTCAGGGAAACCGCAGTCATCTGTTTTTTGCCCCAGAGGGAGGCTCCGGTCGCATGTTACAAGAGTTCGCCTTTTCAGAAGCGAATAGGAGGTCGTATGCAGATG